TAAGCAAAGGGAGATGCTGGCTCTCTCACTGACAAGCCACGTGGACCCGGCTCAGGAGAACGGTAAGCTGAAAGCCGGCCGGCGTCCTAAGGATCGTGGAGACACCGGCCTAAAGGAGGGGAGCTTTGCTTGCTGGGCACATGAGGCGGAGAGGTGGAAAGGACAAAGAGAGAGACCCGGAGGAATCCCCCCAAAAAAGAGGAAATAAAGCCTGAAGGGACCCCTGAATACAGGATAACGAGCCTGAGCGGCAGCCTTCCTGAAAAAGCAGTCGGAGAAGGGTGAGTGAGAGTGGCTGAATTGTACATTAATCACACACTAATTGTATATGGACTGTATAATATTGAAGCAGGAGGGAATAAATAGAGAAAAGGGGGGATTCCTAAAGGATTCCTAAAGGGGACAGAAGAAATTGAACCTCTTTAAAGGACTAATTGCAGCATATGCCCTAAAGTTTTAGAGGAGAGAGATTGGACCTATAGAAAAAATAAAGAGTAAAAGTAGTAAAGGGAGCGGTCCCAAGCACTCCCAATCTGGAACGATTAGAAAATATACGTCTCAGGGTAATGTGACCCCAGAAAGAACTCAGGGGATATGTGAAAGAAGTATAATGGAAAATAGTATGGATAAGAGCGTCAGGTCATCTGTGGAAATGGATAATAATAGTCATTTAATACAAGAGGAAACAGAGCTAAGAGAAAATGAAGGAGAACTACAAATCCCAAATAAAAAGGAGATGGCAGAAATGTTTGGAAATTTGGAAAAATCTATTAAACAAGAGATGGGAATCATTCGGAATGATTTGGGACATTTATTATCCAGAGTAGAAGAAACAGAAGAAAAAATTAAAAAACATGCTCAAGTTATTCCTGAATTGAGAAATCAGATAATGGAGATGAGGAAAGAACAAAATAAGTTGTGGTATAAGTTGGAGATACAAGGTAACATGCATAGGAAAAATAATCTCAGGATAAAAGGAGTCCCAGAGCTTGCACAAGGAGAAGACTTAAGAGGGATAATACATAAAATCTTAAACTCCATTATGGATAAACCTAGTACTGAGACATGTGAACTGGACAATGTATACAGGATAGGAAGGTTCCAACGAGATCGAGTGGAAGAGAGACCAAGAGATGTAGTTGTACAATTCCATAAAAATGAGAGAGAGAGAAGAGGTATGGAAGAAGATAAAAGGAAGAACCAGTATTAAATTTGAAGGGAAAAATATACAAGTGTTTTGCAGACCTGACAGCTGAGACATTGTGGAGAAAGAGATCATTGAAACCACTATTGAAAACAGATGAAAAAACAGAACATACAATATAGATGGAGTAGCTCGATGTGTTTAATTGGATGGAAGAATGGAGTTACCGCATACTTAAGATTTCCTGAGGAACTGAGAGACTTCTTTGATAAACTTAATATCCAGAGAATAGAGATTCCAGGTTGGGAGGAGGAAGAAGGAGGGATATATGATGGGGGAAAAGAAGAATGGCAGCAAGTTAGAAAGAGAAATAGAGAACTGATAGATAAGGGAACTTTGGAGGAAATGGAGGGAAGGTGAACCGTACATGGTCAGAGCTCAACCCCAGGGTCAAAAATCAAACGTGGCAGTAGTTCCACAAATGATTAGAAGGCAATTAGTAGGCCTAATGGGGTGGGGAGTGGGAGAGGTGGGGGGGGGGAAGAGGGAGGGGAGGGGTGGGTAGGGGAGGGGGAGGAGGATGGTATAGGGGGAAGCTTTTAAAAATACTCTGCATAGGGAGGAGTGTGTATACAAGAAATATGGAAGATATAAGATTTATAACATATAATGTAAAGGGGTTGAATAGTCCCGGGAAGAGATTTAAGTTATTTAAAGAATTACAACATAGAGAGGCTTCGGTAGTTTTCTTACAGGAGACACACCTTGAGATTAAGACAAATATAAAATTGAACACCAGAAATTACCCAACATGGTTCTATGCGGACTCCCCAATTAAGAGAGCTAAGGGGGTGGCAATTGGGTTTGCTAAAAACGCAAGGTGGGAGATGGAGAGAGAGAGAGACGGATCCTGAGGGGAGATTCTTGTTTCTGAGAGGTAGATTGCAAGAAACGGAATGTACAATAGCGAATATCTACTGCCCAAATAAGAAACCAGAGGTATACCTGAAAGGGATATTAAGAAAATTGATAGATTTCAAAAAGGGAAGATTGATAGTGGCAGGGGATCTGAATTTATGCTTGGATCCACAGATGGACACAACCTCTTGTGTGCAGAGAGAGGGAGGTAGGTTACTGAGAATTTTAAAGAAGGAGATACATGAGTGTCAATTGGTGGATATATGGAGAATAACGCATGGAAAGGAAAGAGACTATACCTTCTTCTCTAATGCACACAAGATTTATTCGAGATTAGATTATATAATGGTAGATCATCAACTTATTGAGAGGGTGGTTAAAGTAGAAATAGAGACAATGACTCTCTCAGACCACGCCCCGGTTATAATGAAGGTAAGATGGGGGAGGGAGTTAACAAGAGGGGTAGGATGGAGGTTAAATGAGGCCCTTCTACAAGACCAAGAGATTGACCAGAAGATCAGAAAGGAGATAGAAAGATTTTTTCAGGAGAATGAAACAGGGGATGTGTCAGTGGCCACAGTCTGGGAGTCCCATAAGGCATATATTAGAGGGATACTAATCGCGTTAGGGGCAAAAAAGAAAAGGGAAAGGAGTAAGAAATTAACGGAGCTTTTAAAAGAGATATATGACCTGGAACAGATCCATAAAAATAGAATAACAAGTGAGATAAGACAGAAGGTAATAAAAAAGAAGAAAGAACTGGAGATATTAATGGAAGAAGAGAGGAGGAGAGTACTTAATAAAGTAGCAGGAGAGAGGTATAGATGGGGAGATCGACCAGGAAAATACTTAATGAAAGCTCTGAGGAAAAAGAGAGATAGAAATTATATAGAAAAAATAAGAAATCCCAAGGGAGAAATGGCTCACTCTACTAAAGAGATCGTAAAGGTGTTCAAGGAATATTATAGTAAGCTGTATAATATTAATTCCCAGGAGGTAGTGAATGAAGGTGAAAATGAGAGTAGAGAAAAAAGAAGAATATACTTAAAAAATGCAGGACTACCAAAGTTAGATGAGGAGGACCTATTGAAATCACTGGAAGTAGAAATTACGCAGGAGGAAATAAAAATAGCAATAAAAAACACTAAGGTGGGGAAAAGTCCTGGCCCAGACGGATATACTGCGAGGTATTATAAAAAATATAGTGAATTGTTAATACCAAATTGAAAGATTATATGAATGCCCTGGGTGGAGAAATGGAGATTAGACAGGAATCCCTACAGGCCCATGTAACACTTATACATAAGGAAGGGAAGGACGCTACTCAATGTTCCAGTTATAGACCAATTGCACTTCTTAATATAGACACGAAGTTATACGCAAAGGTTCTAGCAAATAGAATGAAAGATTTAATGCCAGAATGGATCCATGGAGATCAAGTGGGTTTTGTATCGGGGAGAGAGGGTAGAGATAATGGAATCAGAACTATGTTATTGATCCAGAAATCTAGGAAGGGGAAAACCCCGGTAGTGGTGCTTTCGATCGATGCTGAAAAGGCTTTCGATAGAGTAAACTGGAATTTTATGATGGATACCCTAGAGATCATGGGAGTAGGTGGTAAAATGAGGGAGTGGATAGGAAAGCTGTACAGAGCGCCCTCTGCGGTCATCTTGGTTAATGGTGAAAAATCTGAGCCCATAGAAATGTCAAACGGGACAAGACAGGGGTGTCCATTGTCCCCACTGTTATATGTGTTATCAATGGAACCTTTACTGGAAACAATTAGGAAGAACGTAGACATAAAGGGAATACAGATAGGGGAAACTGAACATAAAGTGGCAGCCTTTGCGGACGACCTGTTGTTTTATGTGGGAAATCCTAGGATAACACTCCCGAACTTAAAAAGTTTACGGGAGTATGGGAAATTATCAAATTTAAAAATCAACCCAACAAAAACTGAGATCTTAAATGTAAATCTTCCGAATAGTGAGAAAGAAAAGATACAAAAGAATTCCCTTTTATATGGAGAGATAGAGAGATAAAATATTTAGGGGTTAAACTTACTGCTTCATATACAAAATTGTATAAATTAAACTATATTGCTCTTCTAAATGAAATCAAGGAGGAATTGAAGAAACTGGGGGAGGAGGAAACCCCTCTTGGTTAGGACGTATAAATCTGATAAAAATGATAATTGTACCCAAAATCTTGTATAAATTTCAGATGATCCCAATTAGACTCCCAGAGGCCTTTTTTAAAGAAATTAAAAAGATAATTACAAGATTTATATGGAAAAATAAAAAACCTAGAATATCTTATGACCTGATGAGTAGTAGTAAAGAGAGAGGGGGATTGGGAGTGCCAGATTTCAGGAGATACTATAATGCTGTAGTACTAACAAGAATTTATGATTGGACACACAATGCAGAGGGGAAAAGGTGGGTTAAGATAGAGGATGAGTTGAGTGGAGTGGATTTGAGTAGAAGCATATGGGCACCTGCACAACATAGAGGTTTAAAAGACACTACAAGTGTATATACACTGAATGTTTTAAAGGTTTGGGATAATTTACATAAGTATGAAATGGGATTATAACTCACAGTTAATGTCACTAAGGAATATGGAGTATTTCCCACCAGGTATAGAGGGGAGGGTGGGAAAATGGATTAAAAAGGAAGACATTCAACTGAGAGATATAATGGATGGACAGAAATTGAAAACACTGAAGGATTTAAAGAAAGGTGGAGGGGAACTTTTTATTAAGATTGATGAGTGGAAATATCACCAATTAAAACACTTTGTAGAAAGCCTTCCAAAACCAATGAGAGGGAGAAAGGAGTGGAATTTATTTGAGAGGTTGTTGGAATCACGGGGAGATGGGAAATGGGGCACGGCAAAAATTTATAAGATTCTCACTGAGTTAGTCACAGAAGTAAAACCAATGTATATAGAAAAATGGGGAAAAGATTTGGGGATAGAGATAGATGAGGATAAACAGAGGAAAATATATAGACATACACATGAAAATATTAGTATGAGAGAGGTGGAGGTAAATTACAAATGTTTGGTAAGATGGCACATCACACCGAGTGTTGAACACAAAATAGATGTAGAAAGAACACAAGAGTGTTGGCAAGGGTGTGGGAAGTTTGGTACGTGGTTTCATATATGGTGGGAGTGTCCAAAGATTCAAAGTTTCTGGGAGACAATAGTCAACTTAATAAGGAAAATTTCAGGGATAAAGATAGGACTAGATCCAGAAGCGTGCCTATTACATAGTACAGAGATACCAATGAATAAATATAAAGATTTGGGTATATGGTACTATGTAAATGCAGCAAAGGGTTTGATACCTAAATTCTGGCATAGTCCAGAGGTGCCGAGAGAAAAGGACTGGGTAGAGAGAGTAAATCAGATCAGTAGGATGGAGAAACTGTATTATATCCAAGAAGACAAGATGGAGGTTTACAATGGGAGATGGAGGAAATGGGAAGATTTTGTATATCAAATGAATATACAGTTGCAAGAAAAAGTATGTGAACCCCCTGGGATTACGTGGAGTTTTGCATGAATTGGGCATAAAATGTGCTCTGAACGTCATCTAAGTCACAACAATAGAAGAACACAGTCTGCTGAACATAATACTACACAAACATTAGATGTTGCCATGGTTTAATTGCACATAACATGTAAACATTCACAGTGCAGGGAGGAAAATGTATGTGAACCTTTGGACTTAATCACTGGTTGACCCTCCTTTGGCAGCAATAACCTCAACCAAATGTTTCCTGTAGTTGCAGATCAGACCTGCACAACGATCTGGAGTAATTTTGGACCACTCCTCTTCACAAAACTGTTTCAGTGTAGCAATATTCTTGGGATGTCTGGTGTGAATCGCTCTCTTAAGGTCATGCCACAGCATTTCAATCGGGTTGAGGTCAGGACTCTGACTGGGCCACTCCAGAAGGCGTATTCTGTGCTGTTGCAGCCATTGTTTTGTTGAATTACTTGTATGCTTTGGGTCATTGTCCTGTTGCATCACCCATCCTCTGCGGAGCTTCAGTTGGCGGACAGATGGTCGTACGTTTTCCTGCAAAATGTCTTGATAAACTCTGGAATTCATTTTCCCATCAATGACAACAATCCGTCCAGGCCCTGAGGCAGCAAATCAGCCCCAAACTATGATGCTCCCTCCACAATGTTTTACAGTGGGGATGAGGTTTTGATGTTGGTGTGCTGTGCCTTTTTTTCTCCACACATAGTGTTGTGTGTTCTTCCCAAACAACTCAATCTTGGTTTCATCTGTCCACACTATATTTTGCCAGTAGTGCTGTGGAACATCCAGGTGCTCTTTTGCAAACTTCAAACGTGCTGCAATATTCTTTTTGGACAGCAAGGGCTTCCTCCGTGGTGTCCTCCCATGTACTCCATTCTTGTTTAATGTTTTCCTTATTGTAGATGTGTCAACAAAAATGTTAGCATGTGCCAGAGATTTCTGTAGGTCTTTAGCTGACACTCTGGGATTCTTCTTTACCTCATGCAGCATTCTGCGCTGTGCTCTTGCAGTCATTTTTACAGGACGACCACGCCTAGTGAGAGTAGCAACAGTGCTAAACTTTCTCCATTTGTAGACAGTCTGTCTTACTGTGGACACATGAACATCAAGGCTTTTGGAGATACTTTTGTAACTCTTTCCAGCTTCATGCAAGTCAACAATTCTTGATCATAGGTCTTCTGAGAGCTCTTTTCTGCGAGGCATGGTTCACATCAGACAGTGCTTCTTGAAACCAGTAAACCCAAAACAGGTGTGTGTTTTTTAAGGGCAGGACAGCTGTCAGCAACACATCCAATATCATCACACTGATTGGAGTCAAGTTGGCTCACTCCTGGCTCCAATTAGCTCTGGGAGAAGTCATTAAGCTAGGGCCTCACATACTTTTTCCTCCCTGCACTGTGAATGTTTACATGTTATGTTCAATTAAACCATGGTAACATCTAATGTTTGTGTAGTATTATGTTCAGCAGACTGTGTTCTTCTATTGTTGTAACTTAGATGACGTTCAGAGCACATTTTATGCCCAATTCATGCAAAACTCCATGTAATCCCAAGGGGTTCACATACTTTTTCTTGCAACTGTATGTGAAGCAATGGGAAGTGATAAGTGAAGATTCTTTTGAGTCTATAGAGAAAGATGCAAGAGAGAAATGCAGAGTGGGAGGGTGGGGGGATGTGGTAGGGAGTAGGGGTGGAGGGAAGGGAAATAGAAAGGGGGAAATAGAAGGGGATAAGAATTTTATATATGTGAGATTGTTGAAGAAATGTATTGCTATGCTCCTTTGTATTTTCTTTTTTCTATTTTTATATGTATTTATAAATATGAAAAATTAATAAATATTTGAATTAAAAAAAAAAAAAAAAAGTGACTGCTGTGTTTTTTCACACTACACTTTTTTGGTGAATGTGTAGCGGTAACATGTACCCTATACTCATTCGCATGGAGGGGCAGGATCTGGAGCTTCCAGATTCCGATAAGCCCGGATAAGCTTGGATAAGGGTCTGGTATGTATTTTTTGGGGGGGGGGGCATGCGTTTTTTTTTTTTTTCGCTTAATTTGTAATTGCCGTCAATTCTGACAGCTGATGACTTATCAACAACCATGACAGTTATTGTCAGTTACCAGTACATACCGTATGATTCGACCACTACTAATTACCGCAAGCAATTAATTCTTTATTTCCTTCTGTGAATTGGCTTTAAGGTCTTTTTACGTGGTATTTACTGAGCGTTTTTGCCGCTTGCAGTGAATACTGCATACTAGCAATAGTGAATTGGCATTTTTATTATTGCATGCGATATGTGGTCACGTGCCGAACATAACGAATGTGATAACCTTTAGTGAATTGTTCCCAATGAGTGTAGATTATTAAGAAAAGAAAATAATCTATAAAAACAACTGTAGTATCAGGCTGCAACATAATAAAATTGAAAGAAGTGAAGGGGGTCTGAATACTTTATGAATGGTTGGACAAAAATATAGAAACACTACATGATGCAGGTATGAAAGTGACGACATGATTTGCATTGAAAGTGGAAGTGGTGTAACATTCTTTTGCTTCCGCTGTGTGATGAGAGACTTTGATAACAGGTGGGAAGCCTGTTTTTCATCATTCACTGAGCATGCTGCTAGTAATATGGAGTCGTGTCAGAGCTTACTGAGTCTCAAAGAAGGCATATTGTTGGTTCCTACTTAGCTGATGCCTCTATGACGAGGTACAGTATCAAAGGTTATGGCGGCATATACAGTTTCCAGGAAAACGCCATCTGATAAGCATAGGCGCAGTTGACATGGTCAACTGACCGAAAAAGACAAAAAGGACATTGCGCAGGATTGTGACCTGGAATAGGAAAACAAAAGTGACTGCGGAGCTCAATCTCAGTCTTTCAAAGCCATATCCACAAAAACTGTGCAGAGGGAATTCCATAAGTAAAACATTCATGAGCGAGCTGCAATTATCAATGGTAGACTGTAACATGGTCCAATGAAAATTGAGCTTCACAAACCACTGGACACGTTTACGTGTGGAAAACACTGTCTCAAGCTTACGACCAGAACTGTCTTGTGCCAGCAGTAAAGCATGGTGGCGGCACAATCATGGTTGGGCAGTCATATCTTGGTATTCTTCAGGCTTCATCATTATGTTGAAATGTATGGTCACTGCAAGTGAATAAATCATGGCTGAAAATGTGTACCCCATGATGCAGATATTGTTTCCCGAAGACAGTACCAGTTACCAAGATGATAATGCTCCAATTCACACAGCTGGTGTTGTCAAATAGTGGTTTGACGAGCAAGCAGATGAAGTCTTGCACCTCCCCAAGGAGCCGCATTTGCCAGACCTCATTATCATAGAGCCACTATGGTCAATTTTGGAGATCAAGGTTCAGGCTTGTTTTCCACCTCCAGCATGTCTTCAAAAACTAGAACAATTTTTGCATGAAGCATGGTATCAGATTCCATTATCTGCCATTATCCGCAATCCAAGACTTATATTTGTCAATTCCCATGAGAATTCAGGTTGCCTTGAATGCCAAAGGTTGTCCAACACCATATTAGGTAATGATTTTGTTCTTTTACCTGCTGTTTCCATAATGTTTACCAACCCCTGGGACTTACACCTAATGGAAATCTGCACCCCGTTACACACAGACAGCAACAAAAACTGGACAGGTGCTTAAAGTGTTAATAAACCCACAACAATAAAATCAGTCTGTATAAGCATTAAAGCATGCTTGTTATACTCACTATGAAACCTCAGGGGTTAATCCTCTGCATTGTGTAAAAATGCTGTTTGATCCCGACTTCTCTGATCCTCCCTTTCTTCTAGTGCCCCCTCTTATCTCCTGATAAGACATAATGTGTGGAGTCACTCTGCACATGCTCAGTTTGGTGTGTATTGCTAGAGGTTTTTTTTTCTGAGGAGAGTGCATGTGATCAGCACAGGACCAATCGGCACTGTCCAGACAGAGGTCAAGGTCCTGCATCCTCCTACAGCAGAATGAAAACTTCTCCTAGAAGCTTTAACCAGTGCTCTGCTGAGCACTGACAGAAGTCACAAGACTGCTCTAACTGCTGATGAGAAAAGGTATTTAGCAGTTTATATTTTCTAAAATAATTGCATTTCCATGTTGTGTGTACGGTGGGAGACCAGATATAGTGAATGCAGGGTCCTGGGTTAAGTAACACTTTAAATCCTTCCACCCTCTATCCAAAATGAATTAAAAAAATTGCCATATATACATTTTAAGATAGTTCCTATATAATACAGGGTAAAAAAAAACAGTTCTAGATTCCCCTAGCTGGGTATAGTGAACCTGTTGCAATCCCCTCCCAATATAATAGATAATTACTAGTACAGATTCCTTCCCTCCAGCACAATGTGGGTAAAAATCACAAAACGTCAGCTCTTCATTTACTGCGTGCTTACTTCCTGTTAGAGTGTGGAGTGTACAGTGCAAGGCGTATGGGGAAACCACACTCATCAGTCAGTGAGTGAAGTAATCAGGGGAATTTCTAGCTGGTTTCCCCAGTACAGGATACAGTGACAGAAAGGGAGCCAGCACAGCTCGCAGGTATTAAGTCCTGTGAGACATCCAAAAGCGTTCACACACAAGAAGGAGAGAGACACCCAACAGCTGGTGGCTTTCTGGGATTGTATATCATGGCGAAACTAAAGAGTGGTCCATTTTCTTCACCAGACGAGAACGAGTTTGTATCC